GCCTTGTGCCCTCCAGCCTGACAGGCGTGTTCAGTCACCACGCTGCACGTTCACGGTCTGGCTGCTTTCGGGATGCACCGTTCAAATTTCTAGGAAATATTTCATCTAATTAGAGTACACTAAAAATAAATCTGAAATATTCATGAAAATTCAGAGCTGACAATTTATTCTGCATAATTGCCGGATGGAATTGATGTACACTGTGCTACTTTCAAATCAATTCTACAAAACGGTCAATATCCTTGTGATATTTATTTATTTATTTATTTATTCTTGTGATATTTATTGTGATTAGCTCACTGCATCTCAGGACTTGAAACTTGCAGATATTTTATGCAAGTCATGGGGCAGATGAACTACCTATCGCCATTTCAAACACAGAAAAAGCAGGTCATTAAAACCGCCAGAATTCACCAAATCAATTAAAACAAAACAAACCAACAAACAAAAAGCCAAAACTAAACCAACCAAACAAAACAAACCACAAAGTAAACCCCAAACAAACCTCACGAATTAGAGCTGCCTAGTGAAACCTCAGAATACATGGCAGGTACGTATTTATATTGTGATCTTTGCCCTTGTTCACACGTGGAACTAAAGAATCAAATTTTGGTTTTGTGTGTTAGGAATGCATGAGCTTAACTTCAACTAACAGCAGAAGAGAGGGCAAGAAAAACAAGGGACAAGGGAGGCTGTCATGAAGAGGAAACCTACTGAGTTTATATCCATCATGGTTTTGAGTATATTTAGGACTAGATGGTACTTCTACCTAAACTATCACCACTCTTTTTTCACTGAGTAACACCAAACTTATTAGGTATTCAAAGAGACCGGCACACTGTACAGAAGTAGGAGATAAGGCAGTCTTTGAGCTTAAACTGATGAAAGGGAGATTAAAACGTGGGTACAGATACAAGCAAGATGTAGAACGTACTACTTACTGAATGGTACCGTTTTTCAAATAGTATTTCAGTTAGACCTGTATGTTGGGAATGAAGCTCCTGCATGGATTTCAGTAGAAGTAAGCCCATACTTCAGCTTTTCCCATAGTTGAACACTAATAGGAGCTCTTTGCTCTACTCAGCCACTTTGTATAGTAAATTTGATGGAGTTTAATCCCTGTGAGTCTTTTATTTGTCTATAAAATTTGGTTCAAATAGACCAGTGGTTTCCAATGTAAATTCCCAAAGAATATTAAACTAAAACCAGAGCTTTACACAAGCTTTGGGGTTTTAGTGGCTCAGTAGTCTCTATTTTATATTTTAATGTATCAACAATGAACAGTAAAAAATGTTCCTGCATATTGAGAAGTGGAATCTGATAGGACAGCTTCCTTCAAAAAAAATCTTAATGATTACTATAGTGACAAATACATGCAGATTAACAGCACTTTATTTCAAAATATTAGAAAAGTAAAACTATGCTGTCTTCTGCTGAAGCATACAGCACCCTACAGCAGCAACTGGGTGACACTAATGATTGGCAATCCCCTTCAATAGCCACAGAGAGTAAATATTTAACAAATTGCCTTCTTCATGGCCTTTATTATGATGAAATGGCACAACAAATACATCTAAGTGCTTTGAGATTGTAACTCAAGAATCGAAATCAATTTCAATTTTACTCCAAATGATGGTGCAATGGCAAGACACTGCATTGCAGTTCTGCATATATGGATTCTGACTTCATTTCTGCAGGTGACTTCACTAATTCCATCAACATCCATCAACTCAAGGACCACTCAAGGTCTCAAAGAACTGTAAGACACATACATGTGCTTTACTTACTACTTTTACCTACTATTACTTTAGTTGTATGCAACAGATTATTATCGTATTATATTTGTAAATCTTCATTGTCAGTCCTTTAAATTTTTAAAGGCATTTTCAATTTTATTTCCAAAACACTTTGATCACTAGTTAGATCTGAAATGCCAAACCAAATCAATATTGAGGAAAATCACTTTACACAAACTTAAACCACAATTAAAATAAATCTTGACAAGAACTACTTTGTGATATTTTGCCTCCTAGTCTTCGATTTCCAGTTGTAATGCCTGTTTTTCAATATTTTCAAAATGTTACCTGTCTTGAATACAAAGTTCAGTTGTTACATGGAGTGAGAGATCAGGTTTCCAGTTCTCTTTCTTTAAGATACTAATTTATTAATTTTTTTCAACATTAAATATGTATCTTTCAACTTATCCTACGCCTATTCAGCTTTTTTCTTACCTGCCTCGAAACATTCTTATCTGAAATAGCTCTTTTCTGAAGGTATTTTACAACATTCCAGTGCTTAATCTTGCTCTTTGACAGGCAGAAGACAAACTTCCTTAACTTCTAAGCTGTTGTCTCCTGCAGTAATTCCAGAAATATTTTACACTTATCTTCACACTACCTAGATATAAGCACAAAAATCAAATGAGGAGCCTGAATAATTACATACAGATTATTTTCTTGCAGACCCACAGCAACTGGTAACAACTATATGGAAGAACACTTACCTGGGATCAGTCTGGGGAAGGAATTGTATCCGCAAAGCTCTTGCTCACTTGAGGGCACGCAGGTAAGGGTTGACTGACTTTATTTCTAACAAATGGCTCAGTCTGACACTAATTAAAAATCTGCCTGGCCTGATCGCAGTGTTTGGAATCTGTCTTACCTCAGAAATCACTAGAACTCAGAAACTAAACTATCTGCATCTATATGGAGCTTCAAGTACTTTGTTCAGAACAAGATCTAAACTTCCTCTATCAATTATATATATAATTAACTTCATACTCTTCAAAAGATGCCACTGATTTCAGTGAGCTTCCTGAAATGAATCCAACAATTTTCATGCTGTTGCACTGGTTTTTAGGTAATTTTCCTTGAGCAGCTATGTTAAATTAGTTCAAATGTGTGTTGTGGATAGAATTAAGATAATAATTTAAAGCACTGAAATATTTTTCGTTTTCTCCCTGTCCTTAAACTCAAACTGGTTTGTTGAAGGATTTGAGGTTGGCCCCATGCTGACAAAGAATGTGACAGCATATATTGATACCGTTTTTCACCATTCTGACTTTCATTATTATCAAGTCATTCTCATGTATGATTTAAAATACAGTCTTTTCATTTCCCTCCGTGCGAAATGTTCTACCACAATTTCTTTTCTAGATTCCTACGCAGCAGCCTACTGCAGCTGCTGAAAGAAGCCAGGCATGTAGGTTAGGAAGTAGCCTGACAGACGGAAAACCACAAATAGCAATTACGTACAAAGTAAAAGCAACATGGGAAAACTATTTTCAAACCCATAGTTTTACCAAAGCAGTCGCTAGAAAAAGCAGCTACTTACCCGTGGTTATTTCATGTGTGTTATCCACGGAGATGTCAATCTCATTACTTCTTAAGGTTTCTGCTTGCCTAAAAAGTCAGTGTTCCTCAGTGCTATGGCTTACATTGTACGATAAACCCCTCCTTACGTACAGCCTAAGCTGAGTTTCTCATGGCATTGGCACATTTCGTTCTAGCGTGGGGTTTGGGACATGTACTAAAGAGACAAATGCAATCCTAATAAAAAATTTGAACATGTTGAGCAGACTAGGACATAGACAGAAAGTATCTCTGCCCCTATGAAGACCATGCCATTAATTTAAGGTCTGACTATCCTTTAGATTTCAAGCTTATATAGTATCACATAAAACACCACTTTACTGTCAGCAGCTACCAGGTTACTGGAAATTCAAGAATAGTAATTACTAACCAGCTGGAGTGTTTCAACATAACAAAGCAGTCTTACTGCCAAGTTTCACCTTGGTTGCACTGGGGCAGGTAAGCAGGCAGGAAGCTATAGGAATCTGAGACAGGTCAAGCCCAAAATGGCTCTTACAGGCCGGAAGACTCCTGCAAGGTTTACTTGCAAAAACTGCAACTGAAAAACAGGGATTTGTAAACTGGTTGATAAAACAGGAGCAAGTGTGACTTCCAGAATAGGCCCTGGCAGATAGCAGTAACTTACATGAAGTACACACTTCTTTACTGAAGTAACAGAGCCAGGATTATCTAGATGATACAATACATAAATACACGTAAGTCTACCACTACAAATTCTAATCCTCCAGATACTTAAAAATAACCAGGCTGCTTCTTTTAAAACATATGAGTAGTTGTTGTGGACATTCAAATCAGTAATATTTATTGCACAAATTAAAGAAAAATAGGTTTAGATAAATGAGAACTTACATGACCTTTGAGCTCACTCAGGTGCCAGTTGCAGTCTGGATACAGCAACATCTAACAGCTAACTTCTCCTGCTTCTGTAACACACCATTACAGAAGTATGTATGGAACCAATAAATGCACATATACACTAACTGTTGGGAGAAAAAAAAGGCAAAAACAACATCATAAGCTTAGGGTCTAGTCTAAAGTTAGCTAAAATAGAGAGGCACTCTTTAAGAACAGATACTGCTTTTGTTTCAAGCAGGTAAATATCAAATAGTTCCTGGGATTTTCATATGTAAAGGTGATTTGCTGGTTAGTACTTCAGGAAAAAAAAGTTTAGAAGCTACAAGTCTCTACGTGGGTATGACGAGTAACGCTCTTGTCAACTTCTCAGCTCCTGAGTGGAACGGCATTACAACTGCTCTACCAAACAACTAAACGTAACACCTCTGGAAACTCCATTTACCACAGGTGAACAGTGTCACATTCTAGAAGTCTGTGGGTGGTTTTGGTTGGTTGACTGGTTCATTTTTCCTTCTTTTCAGCATACTGGGGTCTTCTTTCTTTCTTTGTTTGTTTAGCACTTGGATTAAATGTTTTAAACCATCAGCAACGTGTTAGGTAACTCAACCTCTGCTCTGAACAAAAGACAGGACAGCTTATGTAGAGATAACATCCCCGAAGCAGCATTTTATTTTATTCATTTAATTCCAAAACATTTAATTTAGAAGTCTGGCATCTCAGTCATCCATCTTAACATGGGCTAATATTGACATAGTGTTGTCAGAATACACAGACAACTAAACAGCCAAAGAGTTTACAAAAAATAAATTCATGATTCTTCAAAACAACTCCAAAAGGTTACAGGTATCAAAACTCTTAGGTAGATGCACTGCATTAAAAGAAACTGTGCACAGAAGTTAGAGGCAAAAAACCAAATTGCTACTGAAACCTCACATTTCAAACAGTTTCTTGTAAACTGATGAACAGAGTTGCCATTTCACATCAGCTTAACTGTTTCCATTGCCTGAAAAAAATCGGGGTGGCTAATTTACTTGGCATGCACAAAACGTACTGCTTAACAGAACTGTTAGCTCATTTCAAATGGAAAAAAAATAACTGGAATCTATCTTCAGTTGCTTTCCATTATTCTTTCCCATATTTCCCAATCAACACGCAAACTAAAAATTCCTAATTTACTACGTATCTTTCTGCACTGCTCAAGTGCAACTTAAATAGGGCCAATTACCAATCAATCCATCAATGCCCATGAATTTTCATCTGAAACTGCTTCTTGATAACGTGGACAGCAGATCTGAACAGCTGTACAATACAGATATGCTTAGCACTAGATATTTAGTGTGACTGTGGCAGGGAAATATTGGTGATGATGGGGATGGTGAAGTGGATGAAAGAGGGATCGGAGGAAAGCTTTTTAATTATTGCCCTCTCCTGCTTCTTCATCTTGCTGATCACTCGTCCACAGAGTGAGGTTATCTCGAAGTAACTGCATGATGAGAGTGGAGTCCTTGTAGGAATCCTCATTTAGTGTGTCCAGCTCTGCTATGGCATCATCAAAGGCTTGTTTGGCTAAAAGGCAGGCCTGCTCCGGAGCATTCTGGATTTCATAGTAGAACACTGAGAAATTGAGTGCCAGCCCAAGCCTAATTGGGTGAGTGGGCTGCATGTGCTCTTTGCTGATTTCAAAAGCCTCTTTATAGGCAGCTTCTGAGGCTTCCACAACACTGTTCTTCTTCTCTCCAGCAGCAACTTCTGCCAAATAGCGGTAGTAATCCCCTTTCATTTTCAGATAAAAGACCTTACTCTCATACTGGAAGTCATTGCAGTTTTTGATTAAGTATTTATCTAGGAGAGCCAAAACATCATTGCAGACTGTCTCCAGCTCCTTTTCTATCTTCTCCCTATAGGCTTTAACCTTCTCCAGCTTCTTCTCGTTCCCATCCGCCATAGTCTTCTGCTCTATGCTGCTGATGACACGCCAGGAAGATCGTCTAGCTCCAACTACATTCTTGTAGGCTACAGACAGCAGGTTTCTATCCTCATTTGAGAGCGGCTCATTCAGCTCAGTTACCTGAAAATACAGACAAAGATCAAATTTAAAGGGTTCGTCTTACAAAAGAGTGTGCAAACTTTCTTCAACCCTTCCTTCACGAAGTGCAAGATTCAAAATTCCTTCTAGATCCCAAAATTCTTTCTACACAGGAGTCAATATATAACACTGAAAGTTTAAAACTTTTTGCAGTCAAGACTTAAGAGTGGAACCCCCACTGTTCTGTTGTAATAGAACTGTATTCGGAAGCCACTGCAAAGCACATTCACTAAATAAAAGTGAGTCAGGCTTGCGTAACGGAGAAGCATTCACAGAGAAGGAAGGCTCGGGTTTTTTATGAAACCTGCTATAATTATGCAGACTACACACTTAGTGACGAATTCAAATGTACCTAGAATACCAGTTTTATGAATCTGGAACACAGCACAGACACTGGAAACTGGTGCAGTTCTTGCATTTCTTTCCCCTGCTGCTTTCTTTCACTCCACAGCAGAGATGGAAGCACTGCAGTCATTATGATTAAGCTCTGCATAGTACAAATGGAATTAGTGTTTCATAGTATCTGTCAGTCACTTAGTGAGCAATTACACAATGTAATACAAATATTATCCTGATTTCTGCTAACTATTGGAAGCAGAGAAATTGCAGGGATAGGACATGAAATATTGCATAGAAATACAACAAGAAAACAAGAATAAAAAGGTATGATCATCTCCAAATTCCTACTACAAAAAAAAGTTGAGATAGAGGAAGGATAATACTTTAAATGCTGAATTTAGGTCTATTTCACTTGCTGTGCTAATTGAGGGAATAAAACCTATCAGACTTACAGTCACTTGAAATTGCTCTACTTTTGTAAATTTACCAACATGAAACTTAACTTATAGGAATTAGGATGAAAAAAAAAAAATCTGAGTCCACTACTTTAAGCACACTGCATTAAGTGCATTTAAAAACATCACTAGAATTGTAAGGATAGTACCTTGGTGTAAAATTAAAATTGTCCTTGCTCAGACGCTGCTGAAATGATCATCTACTTCTTTAAAAATGTTTATATTTATCCTGCTTGACTGGCAGTTATGGTAAGAGAGAGCTTATTTTCAAATTTAGGTTTTGTTCTTAAAATTTTCAATCCTCAAAGTCAATTGATTTTATCTCCAGGATGTCTTCTACCATAGCTCAGGAACCCAAACTCCCAAAATACGCTGCTCTGCCTAGAGACAATATACAGAGGGTGAAATGCACAGGAGTGAACTTTAATGACATTTTCATCATCTTCTTCAGAGCTTCCAATCCACATCCTACCAACAATCACTTCCTCAACAATCTCAGCTATGACCCACCTATATCATCTTCCCTAGTACACATATTAACTCCCTCAAAATGTTAAGGCTCAGCTAAGAGCTTTTTATTCCTACAGTCTGTTAGGACAGCACTCATTTTTACAAAAGCAAAATAAAGAAATTCACCAAAGATGACTAATAATCACTTGGTCATTCCTGCACTGCTGAGGACTTGGCTTGAAAGCTCATTGCAAATTCTCAAATGCAGTGGTTGATCTAAAGGAATCAGAAATGGTTTATTAAAACTTAAATATCATTAAACCAATAGTAAGACAAACACCACCTCTTGGCTTTGCACTCCAGGCTCCAAACGAAAGAAATTAAAGCTACAAGACTGCAACAACTATCCTAATTCTTCACCTCACACATCATCACCTCCATTTTTCACCTCAGCCTCCACTTAGCACCTCTGTTCTTTACCCTCAACCTGCTGCCTTCACGTTCATCTCCTTCCCTCCGCTTCAAACTAAATATCCTGCTAAATTTAGTATTTAAGTATTCAATAACTAGAAAAATATGCCATCATTCTACCACTTGTTATAATTATTTCTTCCATCTCCTTCAGGTGGTTTCTTAGACTTTCTAATACAATGTGCCTTTTAGAGTCAGATGTCTTCTGTGTATTCAAAACACCAAAATGCCATTTTACAGTACATAACAGATAACCATCAAAAAATGTTTGGTACTAAACACTAAATTTTTATTATGCTATATAGCTGGTGTATTTACTTAAGGAGAGGTAAATTAATTAGTTATCAAATTTAATCCAGTTTGTCACATCACACAAAATAAAATCTTACAGGAATACCTCTAGCCTTGAAAGAGTATTCTAGGGTTTTTTCTAGTCTATTATCTCTTTTGGGGTTATTGACTTTTAATTGCAGAAAACGCATCACAACACTCACCCTGAAAAAGTTCATTTATAAAGCCCACTTGCGCAGAAGCCACTGCAACTGCAGATAACCTACACCTGAAAAGCCTTCCAACCTTCCCTAACCACAACCCAAATTCAGTGTCAGGGCTGCTAAACGGTGCACTTGCAGAAATTTCTAAAGACCACATTAATAGAGGGAGCATCAAGTAAAGTCAAGGATGAACTCTGGTAATCTTGGCTGGTCTTTACTCACCATACAATATTAAAAGGTCTACAGTATAATCTTTAAAATGCAGTGTAACTTCTGGAAGCATCTTCATACAGTATTTAGCCTAGCTGGTTAAGGCTAGGCCATTGCATCAGTTTAGGCTGAGTGAGTTTGCGAAAACTCTCAATAAACACCAGGCTAACACAACCTGTCCTGACACAGCAGGACTGAGAAATAGCAGGGAATACTCAAGATACATTCACGTAAAGCACAACAAAAAAAGCCTAGGAAAAGAACCATCTCTCAGAACTAACTGCAGAACAGTTGTTCATATGTGAAAAAGAATGTTAATTTCTTAATCACAACATGAAAGTATCTAAGAGATAAGAGACTTAAGTTGACTGTTCCAGATGATCACAAGACTGTTGTATACTTTAATTCCCAAACTGACTCAAACTCACCTTGAAATCTTTCCTTAAATCAAAAAGGAAAAAAAAAACCAGACACTAATTCAACATGCTTAGGAGAAGCTTCCCCATCCTAGCTGAAAAATGCTGATACGCTCTGTAGGTATATCCAAAAATCACATCTACATCCCTGGTGTAACAACCATATAAGAAACCAGACTCAGAGGAAAGTACGTGACTTCCATGGAGCTATCTCCTGGCTTGTTTATTTCCAATAGTTAGCAAAGCAGATAAAAACAGACATGTCTGTTCCCATGTGAGGATGATGTAGAGAAAAAGAGAACTTGAAATGCTGAAGGAAATGCATTTCTTCTTGTCTTCCATTCTACTTATAGCCTCTCCTTAACAGACGGGATCTTGGGCTGCAATAATTTACATTTTAGATGAAGGCACACTTTCTTATAATGGCTCTTAGAAAAAAGAGAAGCACTGAAAAGATGAGAAGCCATCTGTAGTATAACTTCAAAATAGTATTTACTTACTTAGTCAGGTGCTACTTCAAACTTCCCTTATACAAAGACAACCTCGCTCTCACACCTAAGTTTGGGGTTATTCTCAGTCCTGAGCCAGGTGATACAACTGAACACAGGCTACGATCAGCTACCAGTTTTCATTCAGACTGAGAGATTGCTTTTTGTAACAAGAATGCAGTCTTAAATCATTTATTTCTGTAATACTTACAGGTATCTCCTCCTCTGCTTTATGCCCACAAAGCTCTTTCACAATTTACTAGGAAAAAAATGGTAGCATATAAAAAGGAATCCTGACCATAACCCTGGAATTCCTGCCTGCACACGCTGATGACCGGGGCAGGACTACTTCCATGTGTGACCCCACACAGGCCACACCAAGCCGAGTCCCTTTCTCATAGAAAACACCCCAAAGTGAAGGTTCCGCAGCTGACAGCAGACCCATAACGCGCTGTTGGATTACCCAGGAGAACATGACCCACGTCAACTGAATGGATGTGATTATACTTCTGTTTTGTTAGCCAGAGCACATAAGTCACAGCTAGAGCGAGTTCTTAGCAAGCTGCTACAAAAGTGACTGTACCTGAGCCAGTATAAAGTCAGGTTTAATTATTAAAACTCTCCTGATGCAAAGTTATACAGTCCATAATTTTTGAACAAATAGAAACCAGACTAATAATGAATTTAAACCAGATCAGTGTCTTGCATCATGTGGCTGCAGTGTTTTATATTAAGCATTAGAAGTGTTATAGATTTACTGTACAAAATCACAGTAAGGAAGTAATCTCACAGTAGAGTAGGATATTGTTTACATTAAAGGCATCTCAGGCCCTTCCTCCTACATACACGTGCTTCAGTAACCCAAAGACAAGGATGTAAAGAACTCAAATAATACTAAAAATATGGAACATCCCAAACTTTTATTTATGTATGCAAAGCCTAGAAATTAAAACTAGAACCTCAAGCTATTTTACTTTAAAAACTTTAGATCATTCCAAGACTTACATTTATTTCATGCTCATTAGTATTTCACACATGACTGATTTTAAAACTACGCATCTCGCATAACTCAAATACATTTTACCAGTTTTGAAGTATGAATGACTCTCCACCTGCTACGTAGCTTTTAACAGAGTTCCTGAGGACTACATATTGGGATTAATACTGTCTGAAATACTAAGGGTCTACACAGCTGTTTAACTATTTCTGGAATGATCTAAAAGCAAAGGTACCCAACGCTGTATTCTCAAGGTGCTAGACTATTTGTTCCATCAAGTGAGAACTTGTAACAGTTTCACAAAAAGCATATCTCTCCCCAGTGAGTGGACAATAATTTTTTTACCTACCACGTAGGGATATTTCAAATAACTGGAAACTTAGAGCAGCGTTTAATGCAATGAGAATGGCACACCCCTTGGAAGATGCCATTTAGAAAAAGCATCTTTACATATGACTGTATTTTCTATTAAAATAATTTTGGCTGGAAAACAGTAAATTAAACTCATTCATTTGTAACAGCCAAATAAGCAAAAATTTCATTTTCCTCTCTTTTCTACATATTATAAGCCAAAATTCTAGAATTCTCCCAAGAAAATCTTCAATAGCAACAAAAAATTGTATTATTGAGCATAAGTTTCCTTATTCAAGCTACAACTGCTACT